AAAAAAAAAAAAAAAAAAAAAAAAAAAAAAAAAAAAAATATACAAAAACAAAAACAAAAAACGAAAAAATTAATAATAAATTATAAGACAAATTCACGATTGAAATTTAAAATCTATGCATATTGTAGAGAACAGACCTTCAAAGCTATGCACACCTCGATCAACTTCTGTCGTTTCCATGAAACAAATCACAAAAGCGTGTCATTCAGCGGAATTGATAATATTTTCATTACAATAATTCATTAAATTATTAAATTTTATTATGAAATTGTATATTCAAGCCCACCCCCCCCCATCCCGTGTTCAAAAGGTAGTGGGTGGGCGTCATTTTTTTAATTACCTCAATTAATTAAATCATAGTAGAAGTTTGTTAAGTGATTAGTACATATGAAAAATGAGTTATTTGACAAGTGCGTTGGCTTGGTTTCGGTTATATGATTTAATTAAGTGGTTTATTGTATTACGAGTGAATTCAGAGGCACGAGACGAGTGTCTAATGAGGCACAATAGGTAAGAATAGCAGAGTGTTAAAACAAAATCTATGCATGCCAATGGTACACAATGCTGACAATACAATGAAATACAATCATTCAGGCAAAAAGTTGGGCTCGTGTCTAAATACTTACTAGGTTGGATAGCGAAAATCCAAATTCACACCACGTGGTTGATTGCAAGCAAGAAAGGCCGTAGGTAGACCGAATCAAATTAAATTAAAAGCAATTTATTATAAATATGATTATTATTACAGTGATATCAGAAATATAATACAATGTATTTATCAAATAAATACTCGGGAATTGAGTTGACGATCTATATGCTTTTATTATAAGGAATAATTCGAGTTCCAGCGATACTACTACTACTACTACTACGCTCCTTGCGAAATTACTCAACTAAGTTACATCTACGAATTACAGGATTAGCTTAATTGCTTAATGAAACTGAAAACAGTTGTACATCTAAATGTTTGGTGTTAGACTATATTGAGGGTGCGACAAGCAAGCTGTTTTACGATAATAAAAATAATGTTTCAAGTTCATATGTGTGTGTGTGTGCGTGTGCGCGTGTGTATGTGGCTGCTAAAGAATAATTTACGAAGCGTTTAATTAAAATATCGATGGCTCTATTTACATATTAGTATTTAAATGTAATTTAATCTTACATGGATAGCTAGATGGACGGGCGCGCGCGCGCGCGCGTGTGTGTTCTGTGTGGAGGGGCGCGCTTAAGCATTGGCAAAATGATGCATGTATCATTGAGCATAAAATATCGAGGGATAAGATTATATTTGCGATTTACATATGGTTTTTCACATTTTTCTCACTTTAGCTTAGCTACTCGAGGATGCTCAATAGCCTGCCATTGGATGGGCAAAAGATAAAAAATTTACAATATACGTTATTGCAAGTATTGGCAAATATTTACGATAATCTATAGTATAGTCGTAACGAAGACGCGTGTTAAAATTTATTTATTAATTTTTTTTTTTTCTTTATTGTTCTTTCATTCCGTATTTCGACGCTTGAACTTTTACGATATCGACCGCACGCGAGGTGTAAAGCAACATTATAAAGTATTTATTAACGAGTACGGGAGGATACAACAATCTTAAACACAATATCAGATAATGCTAAATTATAGAGTAAGTATATGCTATTTATAAATTAAGCAAAAATTCCGTGAAATTCAAAGGTCGGCTCGTAAATTACTTTGGCTCAGAAACCAATTAAGCGCACGACTCACTTAAACGACTTACGTTACACCAATTTATTTGCCGCCGCGCACAAGAAGCATAATGAATACAAAAGAAAGAAGAAAGAAGAGAGGAGAGAGGAGAGAGAGAGAGAGAGAGAGGAGAGAGAGAGGAGAGAGAGAG